TTCAAATATTACTATTTTCTGTATAGAACTTGCATTAAATCGAGTAGATTTCGCAAAGAACTATTGTAAATTTTAGTTCTTTAAAAGCAAGCATTAGAATTTTCGACAAATATTTATAAGAAAATTAATAAAGAGATATGCAGTATATGAGCTATGAATCTTCCTCTCCTGTTACCTTATTTATTATGAAATTTTTACGTTGTGAATAAATATTTGATGATATAATTTTGTAATTGTGTATTCGCCATTAGAAAATACTACGAACCTATCATGAACAAAATGGTTCACGAATAAATTATCTGAACAAAAAATGGCTTGAACGTACGGTGTCTTGAATTACGATCATTTGGAAGTCGACAACAAATGGTTTTCAAATCTGTTTTGTGGTAAACTCTGACACAGAATTAACACTCAGCCACCTCCGAAAATATCATTTTAATATTCTCCCACGCTTAACTCTCATTAACGAAACCTGGCAGCAAGTGATTTTCGGGACCGTAAATCTGGCCTGGAGAAAATGGTGGCCATGTTGTATTAAGACTTTGGAGGCTTTGATATTGAGGACTTTTCTGAAATATTGTATCTCTAGACGACACCATCGGCTAAAATGGGGGAGTGGAAAGCTTTATATAAATCATATCACTCTGATTAAGTAGCAGAAAGCTACATCATAAGAATGCCATGTCAATCAGACAATCATGCCACATCAGATAATGCCATGTCTTCAAAGTCCCACTGAACACATTTTCAGCAAAATGGAGGGCAGCAGGTCTCAAGCAAAGTCAAGTGATACTAAGAAACAAAGAAAATGAATAAAAGAAGATGGACCAGAAAGACAGTTACTTGATGTTTCTGATCCAAATAATATCTCTTCCTCGTTACTTTTCACTGCTTCGTACAAGTATGGTAAAATTAAATCAAGTCTTCGTCTGTTTATCTACAGTGACTCGTTAATGCTGCGTTATCTTCTTCAATCCTAGATTTAATGATTTTCATCAGTTTTTTGTTATAAACTTTTACACAACTGTTTTAAAGCTTTGATAAATAATCACATGTAGTTCAGAAACGGATTAATCCATTTTACATTAATTCAAACAACCCATTTTACATTAATTTCTATTAATTCCGGAAAAAAATTTTCGGAAGTCTTCAGGGACGAATTTCTTTCGTGAATCAAGGTTTCATTCTATTGAAAACAGCCTTTTCTGATACGAGAACTTAGTTGTTTACAACTACGATGCCTACAGTTTTTAGTATTATTTATAAATGGAGTGTACGTGGAGAAGAATGCGATTTGTTAATATATTGTAATGTTGTTCATTTAGCACAGGAATTATTTTTAGCATCATGTAAAGGATATCATTGTTATCACTGATAAAATTGTAATCGGGTAGATATAAATGAGGTATCATGTTATCTCATATGTCCATAACATTCCTTCTAGTTTAGTCAGTTTTATTTATAAACAGTTTTGTTTTTATTATTCTTACAGATGACGAAGAATTAAAAATTGAATAAATGAACTTTCCACCGCTGTTTGATATTCCCTTTTGACAAACTGTTGTAATCTCTTTTTATTAGACAAAATGTCAACGCTTACATTTTTTTTATTAAAGGGATAAATGCACTTATGAATGAAATGACGAGTTACTGTAGACTTCAAAACCTCTGAACAGAAGGAATTTTAATAAAAGTACCAGCATACATTTCTCTCTTTTTAATTGTCTTAATAGCAACAGTTTTAGAAGTATTATGGAATGATTTTAAATAAATTTTATTACTATATATAAGTATTATGCTTTCTTAAGCTACTTTCGCTAAAGCAAAGCAGTAAAACAATTTTGAAAGAATAAGGTATAAATATTTATAAAAATTAAAAAGAGTATAGAAAAATTAGAACACAAACAAACTCTCACCAGTCGCAAATTTTAAATAAAAACAGTAGCAATTAAAAAAATTAAACTGTAATCTGAAACTTTCAGATTGAGGAATTTACTATTGGTTACAAAAAGTAAAAGATTAAAAAATAAACATTTATAAAATTTAAGAAATTGGAATATAAGCCTAAAATAGTTTTAAATAAGTTTAAATAAAGCCTAAAATAATTAGAAGCCTAAAATAATTTTAATATAAATGATTATTATATTACCTTAAAGTTGTTTCAGGTTACTTCTTGTTTTAAAATTAACATTCCGAGAAATTCGAAACAGGGAATGCAAAAATTTATGATTTGATTTATGTGATTACTGCAAAGCCTCGAGGGCTATCTGCCTGAGGAAAAGGATGCCTCCGTGGAGGACTTTCTAAGGGAAACTAGCTTTTATACACGTTACACATGGGGAAAACCACGAAGGCGCCCATGCAGCCAACTCGTTCGCGGGATTGGAGCCTCGGACGAACTACCAGTGTTCAGCGACTTCTTAGGGTTAGACTTCTTCCACTAGAGAAGGGTTGGCTATGATATTATTTCATTATAAATCATAATCACTGTGTGCTTATTTAAAAAGGGAAAATTAATTAGTAAAAAGGGAAGGCATAACTGTTCATTTATTTCAAAGTACGCACAAAGCTTGCGTGAGACAAATATCTCCTTCAAATGATAATATCTTTTTATTTTGTGAGATCACCAGATACGCTTACCGCAGTAAAATTATAAATATTTCGAAGGGACTTTCTTTCGAGCTGTTGTTAGCCAATATAAGTCAAGAAAACAGGGTAGGAGACAGGAAAGGATTTAGATTTGACCATATCCTAAGCTATTTGAGATATGGGACCCTTTATAAGGGATATGAGTCATTTTATTTTATATGGAATATCATAACATTTTTTTTGGGAGTGGCCCCAAGAAAGTGGGGGGCCTTAAGCTATAGCTTGTGTAGCTTATACGTATACGTAAATTCGGCACTGGTATGAGATACACCCCACATAGAATTATGGTCGCGCAATGGAAGAAAATCACATTATTGCATTTCGATTAGAAAATCACAAAATTCTATTAATAATTATTCCAGGCATAGTTTATGAAATATTAGGATACTTATAACACACTGTAGATACAGTGAATAGCATATACTATCTAGAATAGTCTAGAAAAGTATATTATGTTTAAAACAGTATATCATGTTTTCGAACTGAGTAAATGTGGAGGAGAATATATCTTCCATCCCCAAAAAACGAAATTTTATGATAGATTTCAGTTAATTTATACATTTTCTAATTAATATTTTTCAAATTCTTTTAGCATGTTCCCATGCATTTTCATCATTTTTTTTTTTTTTTATTAAAAAATCTGGTGTGGACACCAGTCACACTTTCCTGCGTGGACTATCACATTATACACATTTTCACAGCATTTCGTTTAAACTTATTTCTTCGAATTTCATTAGAGATATATATCTCATTCAATTAATTCAATTCTCACTTCGCGACAAGGCAAAAATACATAAAAATTCAAAACATCTTCATTAAAAATCGGAAAATATAGAAAACCATAAAATACCAAATACAGTTAAAAACAGATTAAAAAAATTTTTTTTTACAATTAAAATTAGAGTTTACAATTAAGTTTTTACAATTAAAATTAGATTAGTTTTTTTTTTTTTCCGAGGAGGAGGGAAGTTAATACTAAAAATTAATGTAACAGTTATATAGGATTGGAAAAAATTTCTTAAGTTTTCTTGGGTATGCATTTATTTCCAAAATGCGGCTGCTATTTATTTCAATTTTATTTTTAAAAAGTAAAAAAACTCATTTAAATTTATTTTAACAAAGCAAGCAATCAAAGCTAGTCTTAAAATATTATGACAATGCCTCAGTAAGTTTTTAACTGTGCACCAATTTTGTTGCTAATTTTTTAATTTTTTTTTTAATTTTTTAATTTTTGTATTTCATAGATTGTAGCAAAGCCCACGCAGGAAATGTACGTAAGAAGAAGTGGACGATTCTTTAGAGAAACTGACTTACTCACGCTAGACAATAGGGAAATCACGAAAACTCCCATAGTTTTCTCCATCTGAAACGTGTATACGAACTAGTTTCGTTTAGAAAAATCCTCCACCAAAGCATTCCTCTCCTTAGGCAAATAGCCCTGTTGCCATAATAAGCAAAACCAAACCAAACCTTTGTGGTTTACTCAATTTGCCCAGATTTGAATCGAAGTCAAACTACAGCATTCAGCGATTTTAATCTTTAGCCGTTGGTAGACTTAAGAAAATGAAAACTTTCAATATATATATATATATATATATACGTGATAGTGTAAACATTTCATATCTAACAGTGATAAATTCAGTTCACTTAAAAAATTCTGTTTGACAATTTTGGTTTAAAATTCGCCGTTATTACTTAGTAACCCTATGATTTTATTTTTAATTCCTTATGACCAAGACTGATCATGATATCGAAAAAAGATAAATTTTTACTTTTTAGTTGAGTTAAAACTGTAAAAGTTAAAAAAATATATGTGCATTCATCATTATTTAAATCACAAAAAATAAATAATATGCATCTGTAGCTAAATTCTCAGGTAAGCAGTTTTTGGCGAGTCCTATTTTTAGTAACCTTACCGGTTTGCGTTTTTTTTTTTTTTTTTTTTTTGTTAAATCGGGGTATGAAAAAGTAAATTGTAATTACATGCATCGATCGGTTCGTTCCCGGAACTTTTTTTTAATTGATACATTTTTCTAATACATTTTTTTGCTTTAATCTAAACTGGTATCTCTTCGTATATCAGCATCATTTAGTGCTCTCATGATTTGATAAATCATGATTGAGATATATCGCTGCCATTAGGATTTCTTTTTAAATTTTCTGATAGGTTTCAGCGAGTAAGATTTGCCCTCCCTATTTTTTTTTTTTTTTTTCCTTTAAAATAGTTTTTGAGATGAATACAACTACTGCATAAAAATTGTAGATTACAATTACACCATGGTGTTTTAGCACGATTACTGGTTAATTGTAGATTTTACAACGTAAATGTAAGAATAGTTGTTAATTTTTCACAGAATTGTTTTTTATGGATCCGCAGTCTACATTTTCTTTCTTTCTCTCTCTCTTTTTTGGAGGGAGGGGTTGTCTAATTCAGAAATTCACATTTTTGGATGAGTCCCCTCTTTGTTAAAGAAAGGTAGTATTTGCTTTAATACGTATTAATTGCTAACCAGCAATGCTGTTTATTAGTACTGATGTGGGTCTGTTCGTGGTGTCTCGTGTAGCAGTAAATAAATTTAGGAATTTGCTTTGTCTAATTTTAAACTTAATGATTGTGTTCGTAAATAATTCAAAAAGTCTTGTCAGAAATTTACACATTTTGAAAGTAATAAAATATGGATAATACTCAAGAATAATCTTTTTCCTATTTCCTATTAATAACATCTTAGGTAACACTGCTTTGATAAGCGATAGAAATTATGTTTAAGCTTTCTTTTCTGAAATTAGTATCTTTCTTTGTTCTCGTTTAAATTTAGAAACTCATAAAAGAAGTTAGTTCTCTCTTATAAGCATATTATAACGTATTTTGCGTTGCTACGCTGCCACATAATTCCACTAAGAAATGTAAATCACTAAGAAATGTAAATGTAAATCAGACGATTATCCGCAAAGAATATCCGCATGCGATGCGCGCGCTTAAAAATGTTTTTCCAATTATTCTGTAAGTTTTGACTAATAAAGGTTGTTGTTCGTTCAAAAATGGCGAGAATTCTTTAAAACTTCATTACAATATGTATATATACACACATATACACACGCGCGCGCGCAGTTATATATATATATGATTTTAGCTTGCTCTTGTTGCTAAAGTAAATTTTCCCTTTTTTTTAGGATTCAGTCACACAGTTTCTCTCGCGGAGCTCCTAGCGATGTTGTTCTGAACATAAAGGACTTTCTTATGGAACTTTAAAAATGTCTTTAGATATTGCTTATTTTGATCTCGTACTTTATACATCGCTGAATCTAATTTTTCTTACGGGGTTTTAATTACATCTAATTACCTCGAAAATTTCATTATCTAAGGAATATTAAAAAGAATCCAAGACTAAGTGCTGCTAAACGTGGGGCAGAACTTCGTAAATTATATGGAATTTGTGTAAATCCAGAAACTATAAGAAAAATAATGCGATTTGCAGGATATCACGGGCGAGCAGCAAGAAAAAATTTTATATCCGTAAAAACAATCGAAAACTTCGACTCTCTTTTGCAAAATCGATGAAACAAAAGATACCCGACTGCTGGAAAAATGCATCGTTTGTTGAAGAAAGCAAATTTAATATCTTCGGCTCAGATGGACGAGTGCTGGTGTGGAGGAAACCCAAAGAAGAATTTCGGAAGCAAAACTTAATACCAACCGTTTAAACAAGGCCGAGGAGGAGCTATGGCATGGGAATATATGGCATACTCCGGAGTTGGTATTCTAGAGTTTATACATGGTATCATGGATCAGTATAAGTATCTTGACATTTTGAAGAGAAATATGGCATCGTAAACACAAAAACGTAATACAGAATAGTTTTAAATTCTACCAGGACAATGATCTAAAGCAATATTAGACTCTGGCTGTTATATAAGTATCCAGAAGTAATTAAGACACCACCCCAAGCGCCAAATCTTAATCCTATTGAACATATTTGGCAGGACAAAAATTCGAAAACAGAGCATATCTTCGCGAAAACAGCTGAAAGCATTGATTCAAGAAAAGTTGTATGAAATAAGTCCAGAAATGATAAGAAAAACATGTGGAACCAATGCTCGAAAGATTAAATGTAGTGATCAAGTGTAAAGGTGATCTCACAAAATATTAAGGTGCAAAAAAAAAGTTTGGTCATTTTTAGCTTTTATTAAAAGTGTCCGATTATGTTTGTGAGAATATTTCTCATTATTAAACAAACAATTTTTTTGAAAATTATTTTTGGAAATTTTGGAAAATTTGGATTATTAAACAAACTATTAGTTTTGGAATATAATCTTAATCTCTTCGAAAATGTATTTACCGTAAAAGAATGTTGAATTTACATATAATCCAAATAAAAGCATTTCTTTTTGTTTTAATTTATTTTAGTTTCTATGTTCATTAAAGTATACAAAAATTCAAAGCCCCCCCCGATCATTTTAGTGAATCACTGTATTTCTTTCCTTTATGATGGTATCACGAAGAATTCACCACAGTTCATGCATAAAGTGTGAGTTTCAGCTGAGACTCGAACACAGAATTTCCCATTCCGCGAACAGGCTGCTGGTTTCGGAGGATTTATTCAAATTTAGGAACCAGTGTCGTATCTTTTAAGAATAAAACTGCAGACTTTAACCTTCAACAGGAAGGGCTTTTAATTTAGGCAAATAAGATCCGGTCAATGAAAAAAGCTTTAAATTCATAATTTAACTAAAGGCGCTCTTATGCAAATGAAATTAGTGTAAAAAATAACTTTGCCGAGTTTACCTGAACAGATTTTAACTATCTTTTGGTCTTCAGTAGTGACTAGAAACCAACTAAGACCATCCTAAATTTCTGATATTAATGAAAAATAAAGAGATTATTAATGTAAGCAATCATTTCAATAGATTAATTACAACTACGTGAATTTAGTTGTGATTTTTAATTAAGAATTTCCGAGAATTGAAAATTATTTATAAAGCACTGCTGTTATTTTTAATGCAGCAATTTTATTTTTTTCATTTGAATTTTTCGAAGTTCTTCAATTCCTGTTCTACTGGTTGAACTAAAACTGTGAAATGTTTTCAGTAGTATCACCTTTCAGATGATATTCGACTTCTGAAGCCTAAACTGAACGAAACAGAAATGTAAACACAAAGCTGCTGTTGAATATTTTATAACTTCTATTGTGAATTACATGAACAGGTAGTATGTATACACGATATAGTATCTTCCATTATTACTATCTTAAAACTCATTTCATTATCAGGCAAATTATAGTTTGTATTATTCAGTACACATATCTATTAAATAATAGTGTAACAAGTTTTACATCAGAGTAATACTGTATATAAAATGGTCGGAAACGTTATTCCTAAACGAGGCTTAATTGGGGTTAGAACGTAAACAAAAAATAATATTGTGAATTTTACTCTTAGTTTTTATGTGTTTTACTTCATTTATTGTAAGAAATTCTTTGCTAATTTCTGTTTGTATATAAATTTGTTTCTTAAATTAATATCTTTGATTTTATTATTTTAAAAGTGATGTTATTATTCTTCAGAATACTGAAACGTTTTAGCTGATATTTTGGACTTTTATCCTATTTCAACAATTAATCATGTATAAGTTGTCAAATCTGATAGAAGAGATTAACATTGTTTTTCAAAACAAGTTTGAAAACGCAATTTAGTTTAAATACAATCTATATATGACGGCAAAATTCTTTGAAAGAAAATGTATGAAATGATTATAATACCTAAAAAGTGAATAAGTAAATATTTCATAAAATAATGAACCAGGAAATAAACTTTACAGAAGGCATTTATTATACATATATGTACAATGGGTTTCAAAGGAAGATTAACTTTGTACATTGCATCACAATGCCACACTTGGCCGAACACATGAACGCGGATTCTAATCCCGTATCCAAGACGAATATAAAATATAAATAATGTTAAAAAAGAATACATTTCGCGCATACAGTTAAATGCATATTCGCAAATAAGTTAGATTACATATAAAAACATGCAAATACTTTTTAGATCACATGTATCGAGATCCAAAAATAGGATGTAAAAAATGCACAACACACCTTACAAAATATAAGTACTATATATTTTTTTCATTTTCCGCCCTTCTCATACATTCAGAGAAAAATATTCACACACCAAAAAGCAATACTTATTTTTATGATTAATTAGTTATATGTGAACCGATAATATGTGGGACACCATCCCAAATATCCTTAAGAATGTGTCTTAAAAAAACTTTTACTACAATAAATATTATTCAGTCTGCTGTGAATCCGGAATTGCTACAAAGGAAGAAGGCCATTTTTCTGCTGATTCGTTTAGCCTACAACTGTACTCGTACTTCCCATTGCGGCATTTCGGTATACAGACATACGACATTTAAGAAGCCATGGAACTCAATGTGAAGGACGATCGCTACAGAAGAGTTATTTTGCAAAACAAAAGACAAAAGAAGGTCAGAACAATAGGAAGAAGAGTACGCTTTTTAAACCGCCACAACAAGACGTGTCGCAATAACCACAGCAAAGCTTCCCGAGCATTTCCCGTTTCCTACATACGTACATATTTTCCATTAACAAGCGACGATCGGCCTTGCTGCCATAACTGAATATACTTCTGTCTTTCCCCTTTTCGGGCATTGCGCAAAGAAATCACCGAATCAAAAAAACGGCCGAGGACTTCAGCGTTATTTATGAATCGTAAAACTAATCCTGTTTAGGAATTTCATTGGCTCCCTATTGTTGGGAAGCTGCGATTCATGCAAAAACATACGTGCTGAGATATTCGTGGCCTTGGCTGGGAAATTTAGGATAGATTCTTTTCATTTTATCACACCTATGTCATTTTTCTATTGCGTATAGCCAATAGTTTTCAAGCCAAACATTTGAATGAAATATCCAGTATTCTGAACGCCATTTTGTAGAGTAAAATGATTCTATTTACAAGTTCTAACTAATTTTATTTGTTGACATAATTCTGACATTAAAAATTTGCATATACTATAATTCCACAGATTTCATCTGTCTGTGATAAAAAATTAAGGGTATTATATTATTTAAAATCTTTATACAAAAATCTCCCAAAAAAACTGTACGTCTGTGATATCTTTGAAAAAAAAATGAAAAAGAATTAATTGTTTGAATTAAGTTTAAAAAATTTTATTTTCGGTGTATGAATATATTATTCCATATACTATGTATATGCTCTTCAGAAGGAACTTTAACATTTAAATAAATACTGCTTTTCCACCAGCTAAATGACGCAGAAATGTCCTACCCCCATTACATTTTTTTCATTGCGATACATAATGCAAAACTTTTTTTTTATTCTCAAATAAACTTGCTTAGGAGCATGTTGGAATACATAAAACAATTTTGAAATATGAATAAAGTCACAATAATGATGCGACCGATTGAATTTTGCCAAATTTTAACATGTTAGCATTCCAATAGAAGATTTAAATACTGAAAACATATTTTATACTCTATTATGCAAATATAATGCAAGAATAAATTTAAATTCTTAGAAGTTCACAAACTATGAATTAGAATACTTGGTTTATTGAAATCATTAATTCAGTAGGAATTAGTAAGATAAAATTACAAAAAAATTAAATACTAATTTAAATGAGTGTATTCGCATAACTATAAATTACGTTTTTAAAATTTGAAGGAATGACAATAGTTAAGAATTTTTTGTTAATGATAATTATAAATTTCATTTGCATAAAAGCAAAAAATCTCATGATCCATTTCACAAATTTCGCTTGATATTATAGCAGTTCTTATATTCTCATATTTTCTCGATCATTTTAAGCAGTCCCTTTTACAAGACAATAACCTTCGTAATACATTCACACTCATGTATCTCTCGGTTATTTCGGGGGCACGAATTTAATGCCGCTCCTCACGGCCGCCCTACTGAGTGCCGGGGCGCCTTGCTTCGGAGGAAGGCGGACCTTCTTTGCATGGAGTTGAGTTGAGGAGTCATCGTGGGCAGGAAGCGTGAATGCTAAGAGAAATCTCAATGTCGGAACGAACAGAAGCTTTCCTAGAGTATTCTCCTGAACTCGTCGGTTCTTCCTGGGAAACGGCCCAAGGTTCCGGTTCAGCGGAACCGAATATCAGGAAGACTAAGGCTCCGCCAGCATAGATGCCACATGAGGTGTAGAATACTTTAGACCACTGGAACATTCCACCGTGCTGGAAAATAAAGTTAATTGAGTTAAGAATTTTACGATATTGCCATTTTATCTTCGTAATAGAATATATATATATTCTAAACGGGAGAATAGAATATATATATATATATATATATTCTATTAATGGATTATTCTATTCTATTACATCCATATATTCTATTAATAGATTATTCTATTCTATTATATCCCTATATTCTATTCTATAGAATATATATATATTTGAAATTGAGTTTACATCCGCAACCGGAAACGCGAATTTAGCGAAATATTTTAATTTTACATAAATGTAATTCCCAGTATGATAATAATTCACAATTAACAATAATTCTCAGTTAATATTTCCACTTTGCACAAATGTGAATTACATTTACATAGGTATAATATATATGTATATATAATACATATGTGCATGTTTGAACTGAATTATATATGTATAAACATCGATAAAGTCGTGATATTCTTAATGAAGGTCCATATTGTTTTATTCCTTGAGCTCATGACCCATCTGATGTTAATTTTGGTTAACTAATCTCGCACCAGAAACTTTTCATATCCAGTAGCCAAGACGTTAAATCATCCGATTTTTTCCAATACTTTCACGCAATACTTACATCGCAAAACTTCATTTCAATTTATCAATAAACTCGAGAATTCAATTATCTTCAATTATAATTCAATTATCAAATAAACCCGAGAATCCAATTATCTTATCTCTTGATGTTAATTTTTTTTTTTTTTTTTTTTTTTTTTTTTTTTTTTTTTTTAATGTTCCATTTGAAAAGCATGTTTTGAAACCAGATTTTAGTAATATAATTAATTTTATTATGAAACTGAAGAATTCATCTCTCTTAGGTTTCTTAGAACATTAGAATCATTAGTGAGACCCCAGTTAGTTCAATATTTTCTGATTTTCAAATGGAATGCTTTCAGGATCTAAACGATTAAATTTTTACCTAGTTTTGGATTCGCTTTTTTGATGACTTCGCAGTTTTTTAATATCAAGAAAGAGGATGTAAACAACGTATCAATATTGTAATTTCTATTTAACCACTATTTAGTTTCGCTTGGAAATAAAATTTTCAGCTCTTCTCCCGTGGCATTCTAATATTATATAATAAACGTAATTTCAGTTCTATAATATATCAGAACCTTTTCCTAATTACATTTTTCCCATCGTAAAAATGTTTATTTTACACATTCTTCTTTAGCTCAAGAACTCAATTAATACAAAATCTTTCAGAAATATTTCTTCTCGCTTGTAGAAAGCATTTTCCCAGTAAAATTGGGAAAGTTTACTTTATAAATTTTAAATAAATGATATTTAATGTTAGTGAAAAAAGTAAAAATTATTTCTATCTTATATTGAAATCAATTATTCCCCCACATAGACACATAAAAGGAAAACAAGCAGTTGCCTCTTTTTTTTAATAAATGTAAAATGAGCTGAAGTCATAAATAATACATTTCTAACTACAAAGTTCAGGCTTTCCGAGATGAGACTTTTTGGATAATCGTCCCAGCTTCTCACTGGGTAAGAGATATTCCCATTTCAGTCTTTCCATTCAGAGTAGGCTAGCTTGGACTCTGAATGGAAAAAAAAAAAAAAAAAAAAAACTGTGAAGTACAATGAATGACTGTGAAGAACCGAAAATAGCTGTGAAGTACATATGAAGTAATGTCACAGTAAAGCTCCGCCTTTTAACATCGTATTCACGTAAGGTTTTCATGCAACATTAATGTCACCGGCGCTTTTATCTAATAATCATGAAAACTGTGTTGTGAAGTAATAACTCACGGTAAAATATTCGGTATTGTTGCATCTAATCGCTTTCTTCGAATATCTGCTTCTCCCTCAAACATTTTCTCATCAGTTATACTGAGGGAGAAAAGTCAAAAAAAAAAAAAAAAAAAAAAAAATATCTGAAATGGCACATCTTGATTCTTTCACATCAAAAGCGCCAACGGAAGAAAAGAAAAAGCCTGAAATGCTACAGCTGTTTTCTCACCTCTAAGAAGCCTAAAGCGGGAAAGACTGAAATGGGACATCATGAAGCACAAATCTTATAAAGCAGTTACTTGAATAAGTTACGTGATGCAGTTATGCGAAAGATCATTTTTCGAGAGTAGGATACCTCACATAGTTTTTTTTTTGCATTACAAAAGAATTCTAAATTTTAAAAAAGACTCTAAATTATGCACTTACGTCTTTATCCAAGAAAATACCCGCAACAAGAGGTGATAAAAATCCTGTCGTTCCAGCGATGCCATTAGCCAATCCGAAAATCGTTCCTGAAAACAAAAATGATGTATAATTAGCAAAAAAGTGCATATAAGCATATAAGTGGAAACAAAAATTTAATTTTTTAGCTGAAAACAGAAGAGAAAAAAAGGTAATTTAATATTTTTATTATATTTATACATGTAAGATAAAAAAAATCGGCAACTCAAAATTATAACTTAAATTAGTAATTCCTCATTTTAATTTATGTTTTATATTTAAAAGGAGATCCTTTTTCTGTTCTAAATTGTTTATGGTAATTTTTCTGGACTGCGTCTTTCCATTTCATACTTGCTTATACAATCCTCCTGCATTGGGGCAGCTCTTATCCAATTGCAGATCCAGAATTTAAGCAAGAAAATCAAGAAATCAAGTTTATAAATGTTGCTGCTAGTAATTGGGCAACCCGTTTTCCTGCTTAACCTTGCTGCTCCGCTTCCCCATTGTCTAACGAGATGTGGGCACTATAAAATTGTCGGGCTCATGTGCTGCCTGTGCTGCGCAACTTCTTTAAGTCTTTAACAGTAATTTAAAAAAAAATTAACAATGCCTTATTTTTTTTTCTATTTTTATAGCATACGGAAAAATTATTATCACTACCTTTTAGTGTAAAGCAAGACTGGCTGGTGGCGCACTCATAAAGGATGTTGAATGAATCTAAACAGAGTCATGCATAAACATGCGTATCAAAGTTTCCTCTATTACAAAAGGAACATTATGTGTTTAAATCAACAGCCACATTTGAAAAATTTTCTTCCCCGTCCTCTCGCCTCACGTATCCACGAAGCTGCTTTTTCTAATCCTCAAGTCATCTACTGAATTATTACGTACATACATATCAACAAACTGAATTGCTGTTACATATGTTAGGAAAAAATTTCAGAGACTTGTGCAGTGTCTTAGAAACGCTCTTCACATTTAAAAAACAAAATAAAATTACAAAAAACTGGCTCACGTGTCTGGCAGAAATGATAAGATTATAAAAGTAAGATTCTTACTGAACAGCAGTATATTATTACTTTTACTTTTCATTCCGAAATCTAAAAATATATTCCCTTCTAGTTGAATGGAATGTGGTTGATAATAAAATTCTCTTATCCCGGTGAAAAATATGTAGTTTTTCAATGTTTTCAATTTTTTTTCCATTTCATTTTCAATTTTAATTGCGCACAAGTAATCTCGTTGAAAATCAGTATTTCGATCTGTGTTCGAACAGATTGATTGCATGAGAGTTTTGGCAATTTTCGACGTATATGATATAAATGGGAGTCAGTTTTCATGTGTTTTACTGCATTCAATAAGTTATTTGCTTCTTGTAGATTTAGGCCAAAGTAATGTGTCGTACAATAAGATCACAGCAAATGAAAGCAATCCAAAAGAGGAACAGAAGAGATGCAATAATACACACCAGCGAGTTCGGGAGCGATGTCTACAAATGCCGGTATATCTCCTCCTCCGACCATCCCGTAGAATCCCATAGACATTATAATGAGAGCAACGACGGGCCACTGATTGCAACCCATGGCAGGAATCAGGACCAAACATATAGTAGGACCCACAAGAGCTAAAAAGAGAAGCCACAAGTTCTGTTAAGTGAAAGGAATGAAAAAAAGGAAGACAAATATAACCAAACATATCAATTAAATTTAAATATAATATTAAAAACGAAAAAGATACATAATAAAAAAGAAAATCTGAAAGGTTTCAGATTTTAAATTACGTCCAAAGGGGCGTTTTTTTAACATTTTGTGTGTTACCTTTATTTATTAAATATCATGTTCTTTGCACTTAAACCATAAAATTCAGTTCAATAGCAATATCGTAATAGATTCTTCATGATTTAATTTTTTTTAAATATATTACAGGGTGATAATATTTGGTGGCAACAGTTTGAAAAGTGAAACCGACATTCAGAGTGATTCAACGCAAAATCGCAAAACGAAAACAGTAGTCCCTCAGGGACAAGGCCACTTTGGACTAATAACGATAAAAACTCATTGTTGCTCTCGCCACACTAGAACGAGCATTCTATATCAAGGTGCGTAATGAAGCAGCTACAGCTACTCAAAGAAGGCTTAACTGCAGGTATAAATGGGAGGAGGGGAGCTACACCTTCATTATCGATCGTACAGGTGTAGTCCCAACGCACTAACGGTACACCTTCGCCCAAATTTTGATGAAAAACATACTTCTGGAACTGGCCGGCGGTCTCCCACTCCTGTTTCTCTATAATCAAACCGCCCGAGAGGACTTTCGGCTCGTCGTTATTTTAAACACCTCTTTGCCTCATGTTTTCTCCAGAATTCGAACCCGAGCCCATCGGTACGGCTGCGAAGGTCTTTAAACACTATACGGATCAGAATTTCTCAAAAGAGGGGCAGAATATATTCCTGAGAACTTCCCCTAAGTAGTTGCTGCGTTTTCATGAGGAGATGGATAAAATACATACCAGCGAACGCCGCATTCCTGTATTGATGCATACTGCTCGAATTTCACACGGGGAATGACGTTTTAATTTAACCCTTTGCGGCTCAGTATGTCCGGTCTGGACACACCTAAAATTTCCTTCTGTACGCACAGAAAAATTGAACGAAAAAGGATTTATACTATAGGTTACTCTGAATCTTCTTTATTTATAGTAGATGGCAGCTCAACACAAACCAGCCCATATATTTTAGCCATGTTTAGTTTTTTAAGACCCTTATTTTTTAAAGAAATCTTCCAGATTTTTTTAGGGTATCAAAGGAATTGTTTGAAAAGAAATTTCTATGTTATTTTTTTTGGCTGTATGCTAATATCCTTATTCTACATTAGTTTTAAATTTTTACCTTGAAATTTTGCCTAAAATCAAACGGCGAACCCTAGGTGTGCATAGACCGAGCTCACCGATAATCTAGGACAACTGAGAGTCTGTATTCTTTGTTTCTTAGCATCTCCTCGGTCAGTTCAACAATGCTCGTTTCAGCACTCTTTTCGAAGTTCTATTCAATCAGTGTGCCCTCTTCGGGCACACCAACAGAAATAAACAATAAGTGCTATCTTCACAAAATTTTACTTGTGATCTAGGCCTAATTTGACTGTGTACCTTTTTTTAAAAAAAAGAATCAAAACTCCGACTTTAAAAGGTAGCGTGCCGGAAAGGGTTAATAGAACGCTTTAATTTATTGCTCAACAGCGCAACGTACTCAACGTGCCATTTCCGTGCACATATTCTATTACAAAATCTGCTTACTTCGGTCACTTGTCTTTACATTTTTGAATCAATTTGCACACACTCATAATTTGGAAGGTAAATGAGAGATCTTATGTCACGTAGCTTGTCAACAGCTTCAAATTTCGCACTGCCCCCTCCCCAATTAGTCCCCCAATTCAGAATATTAAAAGAAATTTTATAAGATGTATAAATTGTAATATACCCTAGCGATTTCAGTTTTAAACAGAGTATTTGAAAATCGATCGAGTTGGATCTTTCTCTGCCTTTTAATATTTTCTGGCTTTATACTTTCAATGAATGCAGAAACGGGTAGAACTTATTTTTTGTAGTTTTTATCTGAAAATTAATTCTCATGATTGTAAAAGATTAAAACAGGTACATTGTTAATGTTATGCGAGAAATTTATGTAAAAAATTTCAAATAAATAAAAAAAAAAAAATCTCGAATGAAGTTTTTCCTTTGAGATTCTTTTTTCTTAATGTGTTATTATATTGATTTTAAATGCAATTTCTATAGTTTTAATGGCTTTTTATTTAAATTTTAATTTAGGTGTCACTTTTTTAACAGTCTGGCAGTATGACAAAATTTCTATCAGTTTCTGAAAAAAAAAAAAAAAAAAAATCATTGTTTTAAAAATACCCCTTTCCCCCTCTTTCCATATATATAAAGAAGAGTGTCCGTTTGTTTATTTGTGTGCATGCGTGTGAAATTCTTACAAATCTACAGTTTTATTACAAACTTGATAAAATTTTGCACACTTGGACTTTAAAACAAGAGGAAGGTCACTGTCTACCTAAGATTTCGAAAAACCACCCCGCGGCGTCTACAGTCGGGCGCTTATGTTAGAACGTTCCGTTCACGACACCCATCTTGCGTACACATCACCCAGTTTAGATTCACGTCTCGGTTGTTCCGTTTCCTTTATCAGGGAAAGTCATGTTAAACAAGGAATTTATCATTGTCTTTTTACGAAAAATAAATATCATCGATAATATTTCGACACAGTTTTAATTTTGAAATCACGTAACATATATTATGTCCACGTCACCGTTGTTACATTTCCGTTATCAGATCTTTCTAAAACCATTAGATGGTGACTATTTCATTTACTTAGAAGAGTTTAGAACATTAAGAGCAGAATTTAAGTGAGCTCTCTGTCAGTTTATCGAAAATATTTCGAAAATGGTGAAGAAATCGCCCAAAGTGGATGGTGATTTTTCGACAATTCGTTTCCGAAAAAAGACATAACCGGCAGCAAAACAAGTATTTCTTACTATTACTTAAAACTGTTTGTTATCTATTTAGAACAGTGTAGAACTTTCTAAAACAGAGAAAAACCTTTAAAGCAGAATTTAAGTGCATTCGCAATACTTTTCCGCTAATATTTCGAAAAAAATTACCCCGTCTCCCTAAATGAAGAACTACTACATTACTCTCCATTCTACGTAAAGACTGGGAAAGGCCAGTTACTTCAGTTAGTAAAAAGTAAATGCCAAAAGTTGAATTTTAAAATAACTTGATGGTTATGCCAATTTCTTTCCTTTCCCTAAAAAAATTTAAAATGCAAAGAAATAATTTTTAAAGACTCATTTAAAATGCAAAGAATTTAAAATGCAAAGAATAATTAATTGCCTATTTCCTCGCGTATTCTCTCTCTCTCTCTTTTTTTACTAATTTTATTGTTCGAAATCGAGAGGGGAAAATTATGCGAATAATTTGCTTAGTTAATTTCCGAAGGATGTGATTACAGTAAGAACATAACAAATGAAAAGCAGTCATAGATAAACTACAGATAACTATCACAATATTTTTTTAAAGAAACCTACATTCCAATAAGAATACATCGTAATATCTACATTGCAATTTCTAATAAGGGATCTCCCTTTCTACTTCTCTATAACTTGAACCTTGCCCATTGTTATTGTTGGCTTTGCTACTCCTTAGACCTCGAATCTTCCATAAATAATTAGAGAAGCTGAATTCGCACTGACGTAGCGAAATCGTAGACTTAATGCCAGTTCGTACTTGCATCGCTATGATTGGTTAGTTCTTGTATTAGGCTGGTATAAAGTTCAACATTTTGAAAAGAAATGCTCGGCGTGACTTTCCCAAGATGTTTGAGAAGGTTTGTCTTTGACAGTAAGACGAAAACAATTACTACGTGGACAAATCCGTTTTAGAAGCTGGTTCTCAAAATACACGGAGGAAGGGGACAATTACGCGAATAATTTTTTTAATTTTCAGAACCTGGCACTAACATATTAGAAGGAAACATATGCAAGGAAATACGGTAACTTTTTTAATAAAGAAATTAGTTAGGTAATTTTTAAGTGAAAAAACTAATTTACTCATCATAATTATGCTTAAAAACCACTGTAAGATTAAAAAATTGATCATAAATGATGATAATGCAAAAACTCTTTCTCTTTTTTCCAGCAAAGATTTTGTTTAAATGTTTATTTTAGACGACAATATTCGTTTTTTATGAGAAAAAAAACAGTGTTATTGTAATAAAATAAACGGATAAAGGGAACACATGTAAAAAAACTCACCGAGCGTCTCGAATAATTTTCTGATATTCGTATTGGACAACCAATTCTTCTTTCGGATGTAATCAGAGGAGCAACCAGAGAGGAACATGGCAGCGATTTCAGCAGTGTACACTAAAGCATTTATCATACCATTCTAGAAGGAAGATAATTTGCATTGTCACTTTCAGTAACCATAAAACAACGCCATGCGATTTATTGATGAATTTTTAATTAATTAACAGTTATCATGGATCATCTCACATTCTTAAAGATGAATAAAGAGCCAAACTGAAACTGAGAAGTCACTCAATATGGAGTAATAGATTGATGGGGGAAAACCTTCTGGGCCCACACAAAGTCTCGTCAGATTACACTGCACATTTCAAACTACAAATATATTGACATAACCAATTTAATGCCACAGTTTTTTGGTTAAAATTAAGAAAGGGATGCTTCCTTACATATAATCAGTATCACTCCCTTAATCATAAATGCTTTGTAATAAAGTATTTTTTAAAGTTTGACGATTTTGCAAAGATCAAGTTATGAGCTTGACATAATAGTTCTGGCCACCTAATTTCAGTTTAGTGAAACTAAAATGCAAGAAGGTCAAGACAGCAAAGTATTGATATATTGTGAGTATATCAGTGTTTTGGCATAGGGTGAACGGCGTAATGTAATCGTTATTTTCTATAATAAGCAAAGCTTATATGAAATGAATTAATAGAGATACATAAATTTTTAAATTTAAATGAAATCTGAAAAAAGAATGCCTACTTTCCTATGTCCTATGAAAGGATAAATTTAGCTCGAATTAATGGCAATGCTTTACTGTTTAAAGCATATATAAATAAACAGGAAGAAATTCGTTTCTTGGAATTTTTAATTTCTTTAAAAGTTAAAATCCATTGAAACTATCTACCTCCCTCCCCTCGCATTTTTGCAAACAATTTCGCCTTCTGTTGAGGGGATCGTCAAATCCCACGGAGTTATTTAACTCTAATGGCCAAGAAAAAGGGATAGATCTTTTTCATGTAATAATGAGATAAAGAGGTCAAATGCGCGCTAAATAACGTGCTTATTTCTTACCTTTTGAATAGGAAAATGAAGCACATCGGCGAGGTAAGCGGGCAGTTTCGTAAGTAGGCAGGTGAAGCCCCATGTACCGGCGAACTTCGCAATTGTAACTGCCCACACAGCTTTAGAACGAACGATCTGGCCCCAAGGAATAGGACGATTCTAGAAGACAAAGAAATGAACTCATTTAATCCCAGCTGTCCTGTAATTGTCAGTCAAAAGTAATATTACTATACAGATTGCTCCATGCTCAGTGTATTAATTCAGGTGAATAAAAGTTTAGTATAAATAAAGTTTATTTAAAAGCACAAATAAATTATAGCGATCGTACTGTAAAATTGGCACTGCTAAATTTTCGGCACGTATGCTAGGTTTCATATTGTTTTCATTCATTTCAGCATTTCTAACACAGTGCTTTGGGAGACAAAGCGGTTTCCGAACAGCTAAATTAATAAGTAACCGGGGATTTAAAAAAAAAAAAAAAAAATCTGAAATGTTTCAGATTTTAAATTACGTCCAAAGGGGCGTTTTTTTAACATTTTGTGTGTTACCTTTCTTTATTAAATATCATGTTCCTCGCACTTAAACCATAAGATCCAGTGCAACAGCAATATCGCAAAATAGTTTTAAAAACGAGCATATCTTTAGAATTTTCCGATACAGAGACTCACGCGCTGGAGATAAAAATGTTTTTTCTGCACAACGTTGCCATTGCTCGCTCGCTTCCAAATCCTGAGTTTGTTAATCAAAAATTCGTCAAAGTTTTAAAAAATAGGAAATCGATCATAAAACAAATTTCAAATTTCAAATTTGGTCTTCCACATGCTCATATTCGTTGGAGGATTACGTTATTCAAAATTCGATGACTCTATGTACCGTTATTTTATGACAATGTGGGAAATATACATACATTTACGCATATTTTCATTATTTAATTTCTTCAAATATAATGCAGGACTCTAACATTGGGTGGCAACAGTTTGAAAAGTGAACCGACATTTATCCGTCCGACGCAAAATGCCAAAACGAAACTAATAGTCCTTCGGGATTCAAATCCCTTTGGACTAAAAAAAAACTGATAGGTTTCAGATTTTAAATTACATCAAAAGAAGCGTTTTTTTAATGTTTTGTGTGTTATTTTTATTTATTAAATATCATATTCTTTGCACTTAAATCATAAAATTCAGTTCAACAGCAATGTCGCAAAATAATTTTTAAATGAGCATATCTTTAGAATTTCCGATACACAGTTCCGCGTGCTAGAGATAAAAAAAATTTCTTTTTTTGTAGAGTGTTGCCATTGCTCGCTTTTAAATCGTTGAGTTTGTTAATCAAAAATTTGTTAAAGTTTTGCAAAATAGGAAATCTCTACATGTAATAAAAGAAAGACTCTGTCTCTCTCTCTCTCTCTGGTGTGGTGTGTGCGTCTTTCGTTCGCGCAGCGCATAAGCTAATAGACCCACGGCTACGAAATTTGGTACATAGGTGCATCTAAACAAGAGCCAGTGCACCTCGAAGCGATGTTTTAGAAATTCGAATTCGATTTTTTTTTTTTTTATTTTATGTTTTGTGACGAAATCGCGTCATTTTGGGACATGATGGGCTATAGGAAAGCGAGATTTTACTCTACACACTCCATTTTCACATCGTCATGAATTTTTCACATCGTCACATCATCATTTCACATTTCACACTCCATCGTAGGCATTTAGCTATTTTACGAACTTAAAATAAATTTCGTGTTCCAATAAATCGATTGAATACAAATTTATTTAACAAAGTGAGCTTAACACCTTTTCAACGGGATTTTTTCTAAAAAAGTTTATTTTTTAAAATGTACAGTTTATTTTATTTATTTATTTATTTATTTATTTATTGATTTGTGGACACGCTAAACTTTTATCCTTGCGACTGCTTTTACAAAAAGAATTTTGGAAAAATGATAATATTTTGTATTTTTAAAAGTTTTTTTAAATGATGCTTCCGAGTACACTTCTCACATCTTTAAAAATGTGATTTTGGCAACAATTTTCCTTTCTTTATGGTTGTTGATAGATTTTTGATGAAATCGCATCATTTTGAATAGCTTCGTTCTTTTAGAAATATGGGTTTGGCAGCAATTTTTCGTCGTATTTCTTATGTCACTGTTTTTTAGAGATTGGCATATTTCATTGTCATTTATATATATATATATAATACATTTTTATTGATATTTTTTTTTTTTTGATAAAGCTGTTCTGCAGAGTAAAATTCTGCGCGGAATTTTTTGTTTTTTGAGTTTCATTCATATTATTTTTTGCTTATTTCACTATTTTTAAGATATTGAAAAGTTTTGCATGGTTTTCTTTCTTCAACGGAAAATTGATTAATTTTTTTATTAGGATAATTAATATTTGTATCAAAGGATATAGCTTATTTCATTGTAATTTTTTTCTCTTGAAAATATAAGATAAAATATCATTAATTATACTTTGCTTTTCAATTTTTTTTTTTTTTTTTTTTTTTTTTTTTTTTGTATTCTTTTATGTCATTTATTGCTCATTTCACTGTCTTTAAGACATTGAAAAGTTTTGAGTGATTTTTTTTAGGAAACAAAGTTCTTAAACTCCTTTATACCATTTGAGTTCTTAAGATTTTGCAAAGGGAAGTTGAATAATTTATTTATTAGGATACTTAATAGCTTACTTCAATGTAATTTTGTTATACGTAATAACTTTTTTTTATGAAGTTGTTCTGCAGAGTAAAATTCTAAGCAGTTTTTAAATTTAACGTTTGGTGTTCCCTTCAGCCATTTTTCCGGTACATTTAAAAGCCAGACGAAGGCTGGCAGCGAAGCTGCTAGTCTATAATAAAACAAATTCCAAATTTCAAATTTGGGCTTCCAGATGCCCATATTCACAGTAGGATTACGTCATTCAAAATTGAATGGTTCTAGGTACCGTTGTTTTATCACAATGCGAGAAACATACACACATTTATATGCAGATTCTTCGTTATTTAATTTCTTCAAATATAATACAGGGCGATAATATTGGGTGGCAGCAGTTTGAAAAGTGAAACGGACATTCAGAGTGATTCAACGCAAAATCGCAAAACAAAATAAACAATAATCCCTAAGGGGCAAAGTCCTTTTGGACTAATATTTAAGTAAGTATTAAATTTAAACTTTTAATTTAAAAGTATTATGTGTACATTAAAACCTAAATCAACTGAATTTCGTTTTACCGAGATTCGGTGTAATAGAAATGGTGGAGGAAGAGGGAATTAAAATCAGTGAGTCCAAAAAGAACTGCGTCAAATTTTTTAAACCTTTTCTTTTTATTTTTTTCTTTAGAAATACATAAGTATTTTATGATGAAAACAAGAGACTAAATTATACGCAAAAAAGAATGACCTGAGAAACAAATCTTACTTCAATAGACGATTTTAAGTACCTGCGTTTATCGGCAGATACTTAAAAATCATCTGCTGAAGTAAGACTCGTTTCCCACTATGTCAGTAAATATATTTAAAATATCTGGGTTGACTGAATGTTACCCGTATGTTGCCAAGCTTCGAAAGATGCAAATAAATTACTCCAAATTTTTTCTTTACATTCCAAGGCTATTTTTACATTGCCGTGAGAATATTTGTCTGTGCCCACAGCTTCACATTTTCAATAATCTACACTATTTTCCCTAAATGATCTTGCTTTCAAATTGCAGCACTATTAATTTTTTCAATCGGTTCAGTAATTTAAAAAATAATAATTATAATAAAAAATAAAAATTTTACACCTCTGCTTTTTTTTTTATTTTATTTTATTTTTTATTTTGTGTGCTTATAAAGAGAAATTTCAAAGTTATGTACACTGCGGGGAAGAAGAAAAAAAAGGGGGGAACAGTTCTGTATCTCCCGTTTCATTGGGCTGATTGACAAAATTCAAACTGCGTTTTTCATGTCTCGAAAGCGCGACTTAGGATATATATTATATTTATATATAGCTTTGTTCTAATATGGTTTTTCGACACAAAAAATGACTTTTTCTGAAAAAAGCATACCAAATTTTTTTTTCATATTTCGATTCTACGACTCAAATTATGCCTAGATATTAAATTTTGTAAAATTTGGTGCGAAATTTACGGAGAAGTTAAAAAATTTAACTTGGTGCATTTTTTTTTTCAGTTTGAGCCAAGAATAATTCACTTGGCGATCTTCTTAATATACGGCAACCTATTTTCCTTTCCCTTCCATTGTGCAGGAAAGGAAAAAAAGGTAATCGTTCCTACTTTCAAATAATTTTAACAAAGTGCGTAAACCACATTTTCGTTATTATCGCTTTTAATAAATATGGCAAAATTTCAAAATGCGCCAATATATAAATTCATGTATATCTTCGGAAATTTTGAATAAAAACCTCTATTTTTTGCAGATGTGTTTAGAAATACATCTACTTTAAGATGATTGTAAAGATTTTATATGTTATAATTCATAATTTTTTTCCGAAAAATTGATAAAAATTATTTTAAAATGCTAATTTAAAAAAAATCGTAAAAATTGGGTGAATTTTTTTGGAATGAATCTAAATTTCAAACTTTGTAAGAAGGAATCAAATAAGTTTCATAAAAAAAAAAGAGATAAAATTAATACATACCAGATGGAATTAACATTGAGGAGCTAAAATTTTGAGACTTAATTTTTTAAAAACTACTCTTGCGATTTTTATAAAACTTGGGAGTTTGGCAGAATTTGAGTCTTAGAATCGAAATGTGGAAAAAAAAATGTCATGTCATTTCAGAAAAAGTCCGAATTTGTGTCAAAATATCTATTTTAGAACAATGTTATGTATAAATCTAATAGTATATATCATATGTCGCGCTTTCGAAACATAGAAAAAACAATTTTTCTTCTTGCGCAGGGTACATATTTTACAAACTATGGCCTCAGTATACCTTTAATTCAGGAGAAATATATAAAACAAAATGAGCCTATGCCACTTTTTGTGAAAACTAGCCTGATCTTTCACATTAGGAACTTAATGCTGTGTTGAAGTCAAGTAGAACTAAAAACTCAAGTAAACATTAATTATTTTAAATAATAAATAAACATGTAAAGGGACTGTAACGTATTTTTGCTTAACATTCTGACGTTAATTGCCAGAAATAGCAATCATAAGTATACCATGTATGAAGTGTATTTTTAAATTTCAGAGAATGTAAACAGAAACAGATGTATGAGACTCTCATAATATAAAAGATATATCAAATAAAAAAGGGGATTCAATGATTCCTCGATAACAAAGCAGGTTATCATTCAAAATAAGCACAAAATGATTATTTTGCAGCAAAAAAATTTGGATTATCACTATGTTCCCCAACACAATTGGATTATTCGTTTATTATCACTCATCTGTTAAATTCAATGTCCTAGATTGGTAGATTTGAAACTATTTTCGATAGGAAATCGGAACTGATGGTTATGTGTGTGGCAATACACCCACTGAAATAAAAATTTACAAATTAAGAAATGAATTTAATCCTTAGAATACCAATTCTTTGACTTCTGCAGGTATGATTTATTAAAAATGTTTCCTAAATTTCTCAACTCATTTTGAGCTTTTCCCAAATATTTCGAACTAAACATTTATTCTTGTTCCTTTTTCAACCAATGTACAGATTTTTTCAGAATATTAATTCTTCAGAATTGCGAACAATGAAGTGATGTTCTTCATTCTCTTGTGAAATAACTTTCAAAGTATTAAAATTTCACTGGATGCAGTTATTCCATATGTAAATGCAGTTTACCGCGAGAGACCAATCATTATTCAAATAGGCCTATTAAAGCACATGTATCTGTCAAAAGCGATGAAAGGATGATGTCACAACTCCACCCACGTGACGTTTTGCTAAACACACACATTCCGTTCCCATTTCGGACATCCGACCGCGAATGATGACGACATCCGTTACGTCACCGTCCACATCAGACAGTGTCTGGCATTAGGCCGAGAGAGATCAACGTACAGCGACGTGAAACGGGTTTGGAATTCAATGCGTACACGCGAAGCTACCACATACGGACAGAATGATACAGATTCTAGGTACTAGAGGGATGAAAATTCTACATATTTGGCCCGTTAGATGTGGTTCAAAAAACACAAGGAATCACTTCAAAGCTTCATTGTCACAGAATTTTGAGCATGCAAATGTATGATGATTACAAATACAGAGGGGAACAAGAAGAATCTTGTTATTTTAACAACATGAAAATGCACATGCAAATGTTACTGAAGCCACTTAAGTTGCCGTTAGTCATCTCATCCTGACATTATTTGGTGTTGCGTTGTAACTTTTGTAAATTTGCGTTTGAGTCTACATTCAAAAAGGCGTTAAATATAACTGAGGATAATTTTAAGATTTTAATCAAATACAATAAATACTTCCAGTTATTTGTAATTTTCTCGAATCTCGTTTTGTGTGATGCCATAAAGTGTGTAGTGGTCGGGAAATAACATTTAATGTATTGTTGCGGATTTACATTTAAATAGTTAATGTTAGTAGAATTATAAATTAAATTGTTTTACTCCCTGTGCAATGCAGCGCGTGACGAATATTATGAGAAAGCTAAGCCGGAAAAATTAAAAATACAAGAGCACGTGCATTTAACATTTAATAAATAAATAAATATCTCTTTTTGATTTCGAGAAAGTTCCAGAAAATTCTCGCGCGCCATTTAAAATCTTATAAAAAGGAGGAAAACCTCTCAATTTATTAAGTTTACTGCCGGGTTCAAAGCAGCCATGACACTGATGAGATTTGCTGAAAGTGAAGAGTAATCACCAGCTTAGAAGCATTTGAGGGAATTTCACTATGTTTACGATTTCTTTCACTTTTTCAACACACAGGTTCCCCTGTTTACAGCAGCAGAGCTCGGGGTCAGTACTTGGGTGGGTGACAACCCACGTGACTGGCCTCGACATATCATCTTTCTTCAACTAGTGAAGACATCAGCTTGTACGGCCATGGCTTTCCTACCTCCATGTGTACGGCAGCCAGATGCTCCTTCTCCAAAGTCTACTTGACCAACTCACGTGCATTAGCACATGTCCCTGCTTCACCTTTGTCGGTGCGGTGTAAATCACCTTAATTTTTAATTCTTCCCAACGCCTTAGGGCATATCTCCAACAGAGACGGTTAAAGTAGCAGGGGCTACTAAATGCCGCCTAACCATTCACTCGATTTCGATTTCGATCAATTTATTATTAGTTAGTTTGTTGTTTTAAGAGTTTGTTTAGAAAACTGCTGTTGTTGATTGTAGCGAATTCGCGGATTAGCTTTCTTTAGCTGTTTTGAATTAACTTCTGTTGAACGATTGAGTAGTTAAAAGATAACTACTGTGAGATATTGTAATACTGAAAGAATATTTGAGGAAATTTAAGCATTTTTGTTGTGATAATAATAAATTTTGTCCATTTTTCATCGGACTTGTGCATTCAATTCAAACGAACCCGTACGCACGCAACAGTATTAAAACATCATAGAACTAAAGGCTATTCTGTTTGTAACTCCAATTAGTTTTAAAAAATGGGATTTCGATTAATATGAAGTTCATTTATTATAATTATGTAAATGAAAAGCGTAAAGAAAATTATATTAAATAAAAAAAATAATACTACAGCATGATATGCTGTAAGAGCGAAAAATTTTTCTTCTTATCGACAATAATTTACCAACAGGTACAAAATGTACACTACTTAGCCGAAGTAATAGCACTTAGTGGCCTTATTATAGGCCCACCAGCGGCCGAGCGGTAAAGTCGTTGAACACTTGTAGTTCGGCCCAAGGTTCGTATCTTGCGAACGGTCTGGCTGCATGAGCGTTTCTGTGGCTTTCCCCTTGTGTACACGAGACAGTTTTCTTCAGGAAGGCATCCCTTTCCTTAGGAAGGTAGCCCTTGAGGCTTTGCCGTAATCACATAAAACCAAAAACAAGCCCTTACTTCATTGAAGCACCGTTGATTTTAACAACTCCCTTCTAATCATCTTTGGTCAGAATTTTAGCTTTGGAAAAGCTATGAAATTTTGTAAGGTTTGGTTCGGTTTATTTTGATTATGGCAAAGCACATGAGGGCTATCTATATAAGGAAAGGGTTACCTTCGTGGAGGACATTCTGAGGAAAACTGGCTCGTATACACGTCACACATAGGGAAGACAACGAAAGCGTCCATGCAGCCGGCCCATTCGAAGGATTCGAACCTCGGACCGAACTACCAGTGTTCAGCGACTTTAACTCGCTGGCCCACTAGTAGTAAGGTTTTGTGAGGTTCCCCCCCCCTTTTTATTGCGTGCCTTCGTGGTGTAATTGGAAAGCACGGTCAGGTCAATAGGAATGTTTGAAGTATGAGTTGCGGCGAAGGCATTGCACATTTTTCACATGTCTGGGTATAGGTGTCGAGAGTCATGACCGCTGTTGATGTCGAGAGATCATTTATTCTTCAAAATGTTTAGTTCTACTCAGCATTTAAAATAAATAAATAAATAAAATAGATATCATTCATCATGCTGTTTTTACTAAATTTAAAGAGATTTTTTTTAACTATTAATATGGAAAACCTAAATTCTAACATAAACACCAATAGAATGTTATGCTCACATTTCTCTCCGCAGAGACTTGCGGTAGATTTTGTTGTATGTACATGAGTTCTCTTTTGGAGATTCGGGGATGTTCTGCTGGGGTGTTATATACAAGAAAGACCCAGAATACAAACCACACGCAGCCTATGCAACCTACAATGAAATAAAAACAATCAATTAAAAGTCAAACATATATTCAGTTTCTAATCTCGTGAATAAAATTTCATTTTATTTAATTTCGTATTTATTATCATTATCATAAAAGAAAGCAAAAGAGTTAATAAAAATCTGGGAATAAATTCGTGTAACATATTGGCGGATTCGTTTCTGGAATCAAAAGAATTATGCAATATACGCATCCTAAAATAACAATAACAATTTTTGTACATAATTTCGGAAATATTACTTCCAATATGAATTTACAATTTATAATTTTAATTTTAGCTTTAGCATCTTCTTCATATAAACTAAATGTGAAAGATAAGATACTTCATATCGTATTTTCACGCCATTAAACTACACTTAAAAGTTCTTTTGAAAAAGTCATTTGATTGACGTAGAGTATTGGACGGAAATCCAGAAATACCAGTTATTTTTGTTTAATAGATTTGCGAGTGATATCATCAAGGACGTGCGCTTCTCGACAAAAATGATGAAATCTTCAGGAGTTTTAAATTAACCATATGTCTCAGAAATCCCCATTTAGATTTTAACTCGCATTAAAAGATTTCGGTTTCAGTACATATAAAGCAAATTCCTGATCTGAGCGCACATGACTTCTTTGTACGGTCTATTAAATTATGCACATCTTTTGCTGCACTTCCTTTAAACTTATTTCCTCGAATTTCATCAGGCATATATTGCTCATTCAATCAATTCACTTCTCACTTCGCGACTAGACAAAATTACATAAAACTCTAAATATTTTCATTAAAAATTGTAAAATACAGGAAAACCCCAAACACCATATGATGTTGGGAGGCCCCAACTTGTCAGCAACAGTAGTAGTGACTGCTATGAACTGGAAATTACACAGACTCTTAAGAAGGGTTTAACTCCCTTTTTATTTCACTTTAGAAATCACAGTTCCGTTCACTTGACGCTCACAAACTACGCCGACCCGGCGGTCAAACAAAAATAGAAAAGTACAACTAAAAATAAAATGACAGGATGCATAAATAACGAAGTCACTATCTACGAGGCTCTATAATTGTAACTATCTTAACCGCGTTCTAAGATACAGCTGAGATTCAGCAAACTTTCTGATTAAGAATTTGAAAGATTCAACGAACTGTCGAAATAGGCACACAGGCCGAAACGCGCGGTTCTTAAATTTTCTACCAAGCAACCTTCACGCTCGGGATTCAAGAAGCACACTTACAATCTCGTTTCTCTTCTATTTAAACTCAGTTACTTCTGCTAAAAATTTGAATACTCTGCGCGTTCTACTACGATTTACATACTCTGGCATTGGCAATTCCAGGGGAAAGTAAAGGCTTGACAGGAAAGATAGCTTAAACTTAAAATAAATGTTAGTTAAAATAAATATAAACCCTACAACCAAATACAGTTAAAAAAGTTTTTGCAATTAAAATTAGAGTTTGCCATTTGACCAAAGATCAAGAAGACAAAATTTTCGATGAACCAAAATTTAAAGTTAAAAACTGGGCAAAATCACATTTAAGTTGGTGCACTAACTGACTTAATTCTCTATACTACTAAGAGTGTAAAATGTAAACAAGTAGCCGCCACATTAAGCCTAGTAACATTTAAGCTTTTAAATTGTAGGTAATTCTAAAACTATTGCCTGCAGATTAACTAAAGGTATAAAAACCTTAGCCGGAACATAAGAACAACACAATTCAATCACTTTTAAAGCAAAAGTGCACAATTAACCAATATATAAGAATAAGAAACGTGAGCTCACCGAGACGGGCAACTATGAGAAAATATATATATTTGCGGCGGCCGATTGCGATGAAAAAGGGAGGTGCACAACTAGATGTTATAGCAGTTCCATATACAAAATTTCATCCTTCTACGGCCAGCTAATCGTTTTTTAGTTATGCGAGGGACATACATAGGTACGTACGAACAGACATCACAAAGAATATCTCTTTTGCATCCATTTAAAAACCATTTTATAATCCGTTTTAGGAAAAAGAGCCCTTTATTCTATCCGTACGCATAAATGCTACGCAAAAAAATCGTTCAAATGGATTCTAGAGCGGTCAGAATGGATATTTTCATTGAGATATAACAAAATATTTCGCTATTGCAATACTTCCTTTACTTCATAATTAAATATTTCGGCAGCTAAAATTTATATATAGCTAAAAATGGATCTAAATTCTCATTTCGATTATTTACGTTTTTGAATAGTGTTTTGGTCTTTAACTCGCCGAATGAGCAAGGGAAAATCTAAGTTCTCATTCGATTATTTACGTTTTGGATAGTATTTTGATCTTTAATAAGCCAAATGAGCAGGTGATGATTGCATTTTGTATTTAAACTTGCTATAGAAACAGTTTACTTAAAAACTTAATGCAGTAAATTTAACATTTATCAGATCAAAATTTTATATTATGCGCCAGAAAGCAGTTTGCTTCGGCTTATTGAATTTCGCTCTGTTGTGCAATCGTCGATCTGCCATTATATGTGATACACACTTCACGTTTGCTCAGATATCAAGCATTTATCATTTTTGTAGGAGCATTGAATAATGTCTTAAAACAATAGATCAGTCCGCACTCTTTGCTATTCTTCTTACAAATACGTTTTTTACTATTCGTTTTCCGATAATTTAAAACTTTTTTGTTATTTCGTTTTCGGATAATTTGAAACTTCCTATTTTAGAAATTTCGCGAAATGCTTTCTTCACATTTTATCGGAGTGCGACACAACTAAAAATGAGTTGATTATTTAAATTAGGCAAAGCATACAAATAGTACCTGCCTAAATTGCATTCCCATTTTAATAGATACACCCCACTTGACTAACACTGAGAAAGAAACATAATTCAGATGAATTAAAAAATGAGACATGTCGTTACGAATTTTGTATTTAAATAGGTCATTTTACTAGAATTATAATTGAAATTGTGTTTTGTGTGATGTAGCGTGAGACAAATTTTTAAGAGAAAGCTATGCCAGAAAAGAAAGAGTACAGGGGCATGTGCATTAAACATCGAGTAAATGGGTATCTCGGTAATGTATATTGAAATAGAATAAATATAATGGACCACTATGTTAGCTGTACTCTTATTGCTTTCCAGAAATCTCGAGAAGCAAAAAAAGTACTAGAAATATCTCGCGGCCGGTTGAAAACTATAAAAAGCCGGAAAGAGAGCATCTGAGTTCAGCTGCTTAGTTATTGTTGTTGCGAGTTGTTTAGTTCCGGGTGAACTGAGATATCCGAGTTAGATTTCTCTTTCAATGCGCTTAGCGTTGCCTTGTGTTTAACGCTCTTAGTAGTTTGAAGTAACTACTAATTATACTGTGTGATATTGTGAACACTCGTACGAATATTTCTGTGGAAATTATAGAGTTCTGAAATATTTCTTTTAATAAAAATAAATGTTTATTAACCTATTATCGTACATGTGCATTCAATCTATTACGAAGCTGTAGGCACGTAACAATATAAGTTTGGCATAGTTTAAAAGCACTAATTATTGAACTTTCAGTTTTGGGGGGGAAGGGTTCATAGGACACATCCGATAATCGATGAGAGCGATAGTGATTGAATACAATTTATATTTTAGTGTGGCATTTGTAACCAAACTCAGAAATTTTTGCATCTCTCTCACTTCCAGCATGTATGTTTTACTTTAATTACGCATTTACTTTTGTTTTATTTAAGCTTGAATATAAGTTATTATCTTAGTTTAAAAATTTCGAGAACTCTGAACATGTTTCCTGGGAAACTGCCAAATGTAGCTAATAAAATATTCGCTATTTCATTTTACAAAGAGCAACCGCGTATTGCAACATATCTGAAATGATAAATCAGAAATGCGTCAAAACGAAATCTGTTTCAATTACGAAATTCAGATCATTTTTAAGCAACAGCTGATATAGCATTGCGCCGGATTTTAAAATAGCTCTGCAATGTAAATTTCTAACTGAATTCCTTTTAAAAATGCTTTAATTAAAATAATTATTTGACCACTGAGCATAAACTGACGCATGTTAAAAGTTTTTCCGAGGGAAAAAAAAAAAAACATCATTCCTCAGTATTTTTTTTAACTATACATAAATAAACTATCTATAAATCCAACCACGCCTTTAAATATGTCAAATAGGCAATTGTATTTATACTTCTATATTAAAATATATATTCTTTTTTCTTATTCAAATTAATCAGGATTTTAAGCTGATTAGCATCAGGTTTAACCACTGTTGTCATCTGCAGGTTTCTCATATTGGTGCTGCCATCTACTGAATAAATTTGTAAATCAGCCGGAGCTGATATTTAAAATATTAACTGCTGGATACACCTATGCAGAAAAAAATTTGTCAACATTTAATTATTTGTATTTGAACAAGAGTCGACTGATGACAGTTACAGCCGCAACTGTCATGACATTACACTGATATATACGAAAAATTGTTAGTTCGGCAAATTATCTTCGTTTAAGATATTTTAAAATAATTTCAGTTTATAACGATTAACATTTTACTTGCTTCATTCTGAGGATAAAGAGAAGTATTTTTCAAGGCCACGCTTTAAACAAATATTAGAAAGAGAAAAAGATGAAGGACAGTAACATGCAACACCAACCTGAAAATTTTTCGAATTCTAAACAAAGAAAAGTTTTTAGAGCATCTACTCTGAGAGTCAAATAACATCGATTATACCCGCCAACCGAGACTTTAGTTTTGGGTCTGTTTGCATTTGTTGAAAGTTGACGACTGAATTCGAAAATATGGGTGTTTGTAAAAAAATTTAAAATCATGTATTCCTAGTCACCACTACTAGTGACCAAAGCCACTGTAATCCGCAAATCTTATTCTACATGCTTTCATCTTATATTTAGCACCGAGCTCGCATTTTCTCTCCTTCCCCCCTTTAACATAAAATGAAAGAGGATATAAAATTGAATGTCATCTTTGAATATCATAAAGGTATTTTTCACATTTGTTTAGAAAAAC